TCTATTCCAGAATAACAGTTCCTACCTTCATAATCTCATCATGAACTCCAGATAAGAAAACAGCATCACACAAACATCCTAACTAGACTAAACCTCCTAAATCCTGTCCTAACTTTAGGATGAACCCCAACAGGGTCCTCACTTCTGTTTAAGGTCCGTTTCTATGGTTTTTAGGCAGCTGAGTCAGCAGCAGCGTTCACTACCAGCATAATGAGCTCCATTTATTTCTACTGTAAAACGCTGCTTTCACTGTGAGATGATTTTCTTTTCTAACTCTGCGTTTTAAAGATCTCAGACGCTGCAGACTCGATCTCCACTGCCCCTCTGATCACCTTCGTGTGTTAATGTTGATGATGAAATATTACAGTGATGGTGGTGAATAATGAGGAGACGGAGCTGAACGTGTGTCTGTTTATTAGGAGGAGTAACGTTAGCGCGCTCGGCTAAAGCGTTTGGGAAATGGAGACTGAAACTGGGGAGCGGCGACGCTCTGATAAACAGCAGGGGGTTATTAACACCAGTCCAACTGTGTTAATAACACAGTTATAAAGGAGTCACTGAGTCACTGTAACACCGTCAGGAAGTTAGTTTCATCCACAATCACATTAAAGCGTCTTGCATCGTCAGACCGAGCGACCGAGGCAGGAACGGTTTCATTTTGTGGAGCTGAGATTTTCAGCAGCGTATTTGACGCGAATGATGACATCATACAAAACGATTTGACTGCATTTGAGTTTTAAATTTAATTGACGTCGAGCAGAACGTGGCGTCATAACCTGCTGAAAAGAGGCGACGACATAAACACATAACTGACACATCATCATCTCTCTGCTCTCATTCGGGACCCATTTTATGCAAATGAGCTGAGCAGCGACCAATCAATTTGTTGATATGTGGTCCAGTAACGGACAGTTTCGCCCACAATCAGTGAGATTAAACACTGGAACAAAAAACGAGCTGGAAAAAGAACGTTTACTTCATCATTACATCACATGACTCTTCAACAGTAAAAACAGTCTGAGTGTTCGGATAATCCGTGAGTGTCTAAACCTGGATTAATCACAGTCTGAGTGTCTAAACCTGGATTAATCACAGTCTGAGTATCTAAACCTGTATTAATCACAGTCTGAGTGTCAAACCTGGATTACACAGCTGAGGTCTAAACCTGGATTAATCACAGACTGAGTATCTAAACCTGGATTAATCACAGTCTGAGTATCTAAACCTGGATTAATCACAGACTGAGTATCTAAACCTGGATTAATCACAGACTGAGTATCTAAACCTGTATTAATCACAGTCTGAGTGTCTAAACCTGGATTAATCACAGACTGAGTATCTAAACCGGATTAATCACGCTGAGTTCTAAACTGATATCACAGTCTGAGTGTCTAAACTGGATTATCACAGATGAGTATCTAAACCTGGATTAATCACAGTCTGAGTGTCTAAACCTGTATTAATCACAGTCTGAGTGTCTAAACCTGGATTAATCACAGACTGAGTATCTAAACCTGGATTAATCACAGACTGAGTATCTAAACCTGGATTAATCACAGTCTGAGTAT